ATGAAACTCCCATGTATAAGCATAGATTTCTCTCATGCACCGCCTGCCCCGCAAGAGATCTATCGAACCTCCTTAAGAACTGGGCTGTGTATTGTCAAATTTAATTTTTGCCAAGAGGTTTGGCACGTTAATTTTGTTGAGTGGGTGTTTGCCACGAGGTCTACCGTCCCACAAAAACTAAAGTTTTATTATTTTAAATAAGATGATAAACTATGAAACAGTAGTTAACAAGTAATCTAACAGAAAACTCAAGTAATAATAAATAATGATAAATGAAATACACAAAAATATATAACTAGTAATACCTGATTTTTATAACAACATTTAAGATTTTGTGGCAAATCTTCGAGTACTGGTACCAGGATCCTCTTCCACAGCGTTTAAAATTCCTGTTTCAAAGATTCCATAGTCTTAAATGCTGAATTAATCCGACAAACATTTTCTTATTCGGTACTTATATATCGCCGTAATCTATCTGATATGGTTTTCTTTTCTCCTGACAAAAAGTAGGCTCTAACCATATGAACTTTTTCTTTATTTGTATACATGCTTATAATGTACAGAAACTTGAAATTAAAATACAAAATTTTACTGTATTGTCACTGAATACTGAAATAAATAACTTTATAAGATTATAACACTTACACCACATTTTATGTACAATGTTCCCCAAACCAATAATGTCGAAGACTAAACAGTTAACAAATATGCTCGCAAATATGCAACCAAATGAAACAGTGCAGTTTTCAGCCATTATTGTTTTAAACAGGTGTCGGCTCTTCCCCGCCTTCAAAGGCAAAGTATACCGCAACAGAGCAGCTGTTTTTTTGTGTCTGATGCCTTGTCCACATTAACATTGAAAAAAATATTGTAATTTTCAAATAAGTCGTAATATTAAATTAATCTTCACAAAATTATTTATTTAATAGTTGATTAACAAAAATATTTACAATTAGTAACGTAGCCCTGTTCCAATATTAGTTAATATTTAATAAGTCACGTAAAAATTGTATGTATTGATTTAACAACTGGCAACGTTCATACTGCACTAACACAACTTCACATACAAATTCCGGGTGTCCCAGTTTACGTCACTCAGTGGCAGCGTACTCAAAAAACTGCATTTTAAAAAACTAATTATAACTCGACTATTCATTTGTTTTAAAAAAAATAATTTCAGATTGACTGACCCTCACTTAAAGTTACACTCTGTATATAGTTTGATCAAGAAATAAGTTATAGTATCAACTGAAGATATCTTGTTCTTATTTTTTTTTTAATGTAAACTTGTTTTCTTGCCCTAATAATATATTATTAAAAATATAGAAAGCCTGGTTTTTTGTGATTTTTTTATATGTAAAATTTTCAGTAATAAACAATTATTTTTTTTATTGAAAATATAATGCCTTAGGATTGTTCTATGCCTATTAAGATAGTTTTATAACAAATTTAAAGAAAACATCTTAATTATTTTTCTACACACCAATAAATTAACAAAATGCAAAAGAAAATTTTGTGACGTGCAACTTAAATGTCATAAAATCAAAAACTAAACACCTTAGGATTATTCTACATCTTCCAAAACAGTGTGCCAAATTACAGGAAAAAATATGTTAGTTATTACATGAGAATTGGATATGTGATTAATAGAAAATTTATATTGTTACTGTTTTTAGTTTTTATATATAGTTCTTACATTTAATGTTTTTTTGTACATAACCATTTAACCATACTTGTATTTAAGGACGTAACACAGAAAACCAGACACACTGTATATATGAAATTCCTAAGTTTGATAAAGCATAATCAACAATGCATCAAGACATACAGGAGTACATTCACATAAAACTTCTGACATTGTTAGCCTCTTTCGAATGTATACATTGGAAGAAGCCTAGATATTGTTTGACAACTCATCTGAAAGCACATGTCAGGTTCAGTCCATCACATCACTTCTACGATTACTTAGTTTTTAGACTTTTTAAAAAAAGTTTCAGCCTAGTTAGAGAATATGAATTTAAATAAAAATTATCTTAAGAAAAGCGTTTTTATGCATAATTTTTAGAAAATCTAAGCATGTTAGAAACAATATCTCTTCACTTTACCAGTCAGACAAGTTTCCTCCAGGGTTTACAATCTGACAATACATTCAGATTAAGGAAAAAAGGCATATTTTTACTTCTTATGTTTTTCATTACATTTCGTGAACTTTACATGCCTGTTGAATATACAGAAAAGCGCGCACAGTACTATAAACATAATTACAACCCACAAAATGCTTTAATGAAATGAATGAAATTAATCTTATTGAGTATTTATACAAAATTCTCAACGAAACAGGAGAAATACATTCCGGTATTTATATGGGTGCCCATATTTTCTGTGATCTTTCACTTCGTAAAATTAAAGGAATCCTTGTATTTCAATATTTTTATAGTTCATATGGATTTTCTTGTTCTATCATTGTCTTAGAAAAAGTGTGATTTCTTTCTATATAAAACGCCAGCCTTAAACAATTTCTGCATACTATCTTCGAAATTAATTAATTGAAATTCTCTAGAAAAGTTCATTGCTACATCATATACAGGGTGTCTCATAATTAGCTGCCAACCCTGAACAGGCCGATTCTATGATCAAAACTAAGTAAAAAAGTTCATATGGATATGGGTCCGGAAATGCTTTCTAAGGGCACGGACCCATTGAAGAGGGAGGAATGGAAAACATTTTTTTGCAATATCTCTCAATCGCGTTGTGATAAATGAATGAAATTTGCTATATACACAGCTAAATTTTGATGAGCAATTTGATGGACTAATCCATTTATTTCCACAAGGTCCATTGGGATGGGTACGGGGGGGCCCTTGGTACTTTGCGTGTGTAACTTCTTCATCTTTGACTTTTTAACAAATTGGACAGCAAATTCCGTTTTCCCGAACTGTTTTACGTTAAAAAGGTACTCTTGTTTCAAATCGTTATCTTTAACGGTTTCTGAGAAAATCGCTCTTGAATTAATCCCACTTTGGTCAATTTCATAGTAATTTAAACAAAAAATAATAATAATAATTTAATACGTAATCAGTAATACACATTATTGATGTAGAACAATTATGATATGATGATTTGTTTATGGCTTTTGCGATGGTAATGCTGCGCGGCAGAACGCGAGTACGGCAGAAGGTTTCCAAACAGAAGGCTGACATCAAGGAGGACATTCCTCACTGTATTCCGCAATTTAGCTGCAACCGTCACTTTTCGAAGGGATCATAAGATGGAAACTTAATTTTGATAACAGACAACAAGCTATTTTAAAAACTGTTCAAAAAACCCTCCACCTTCTCTGATACAAAGTCTTGCCCTACGTGTAACACTTCTCGAAGCTATTAAGATGCTAAAACGGTTTTGACGAATTTCATTGGCTGCATCATTGATACGCTGCAGCAATTCCTCACGGGTATCGACTTCGGTGGCGTAAACTTTTTGATTTAGATATCCCCAGAAAAAGAAGTCCAGCGGGGTTAGGTCGGGAGAACGCGGCGGCCAAGCTACCGGTCCGTGCCTCCCTATCCACCGTCCAGCGAAATTTTCGTTTAGGAAATTTAGAACATTGCGACCACTATGTGCCGGGGCTCCATCGTGTTGAAAAAACATGTTACGTCGTAAATTTAGAGGCAGATCATCGAGAATTTGGGGAAGATTTTCTTGAAGTAAGTTTAAATAAAGATTTGAATTGAGACGTTGTGGAATTTCAATAGGTCCAATCAGAGTGTCGTGAATTATTCCCGCCCATAAATTTATGGAAAACCGTTGCTGGAAGTTTGTTCTCCGAACAACATGTGGGTTCTCTTCTTCCCAATAATGAGAATTATGAAAATTTAATTTTCCATTTCGGGTAAAAGTAGCTTCGTCACACCACAAAATTTTGGAAGCTTGCTCGTTGTCCAGCGACAAAATCCAGCGACAAAATTGCATACGTGGCGCAAAATCTTCTGGTATCAAGCCATGTACACGTCGATAGTGATAGGCATGTAGACCTTGTCGCTTTAATATTCTTCCAACCTGAAATGTTAGTAGCACATCTAATCAATTCTGTTAAGGAAATCTTTAAGATATGTAGTACCGTTGGCCGAGGAACATTTATTTGCCTTGAAATGTTCCGTATGCTAGTCGTAGGATCTTGTTCAATAGCGTCAAGGACCTCCGCTTCCCTATTAATCCTGGGACGTCCTTGACCCGGTGCCTTTCGAAAAGTGGCGGTTGCAGCTAAGTTGCGGAATACCGTAGGGAATGTCCTCCTTGATGGCAGCCTTCGGTTTGGAAACCTTCTCCCGTACTCGCGTTCTGCCGCTGCAGCATTACCATCGCAAAAGCCATAAATAAATATCATATCAACTAACTCTTGTCCCGTAAACTCTTCCATTTTTTTCGCTTAGAACTATTAAATTGGCAATCGGGTTGACAATACTTTGACATAAGAATACCTTGATAATTTTGTTTAAATTACTATGAAATTGACCAAAGTGGGATTAATTCAAGAGCGATTTTCTCAGAAACCGTTAAAGATAACGATTTGAAACAAGAGTACCTTTTTAACGTAAAACAGTTCGGGAAAACGGAATTTGCTGTCCAATTTGTTAAAAAGTCAAAGATGAAAAAGTTACACACGCAAAGTACCAAGGGCCCCCCCGTACCCACCCCAATGGACCTTGTGGAAATAAATGGATTAGTCCATCAAATTGCTCATCAAAATTTAGCTGTGTATACCAAATTTCATTCATTTATCACAACGCGATTGAGAGATATTGCAAAAAAATGATTTCCATTCCTCCCTCTTCAATGGGTCCCTGTGCCCTTAGGAAGCATTTCCGGACCCATGTTCATATGAACTTTTTTACTTAGTTTTGATCATAGAATCGGCCTGTTCAGGGTTGGCAGCTAATTATGAGACAACCTGTATAATTATAACAGGACTGTTATTAAACAGTTTGTAATTATTGTTTCAGATATGAGAAGAGATGTACAAGAAATCTATCGTAATACACCGCATGGCAAACAAGTTATGATGTTTAGTGCTACACTCAGTAAAGAAATTCGACCTGTCTGCAAGAAATTTATGCAAGATGTAATTGAAACTTCTTATTCTACACCATACTTGACCTACGCACCCGCTCGCACTGCTGTAATTTGAAAAAAGGAGGGTTTATGAATTCAGAATGTATAGTAAAATTTAAAATTGGGTTTAAAATGATGTCTTGTTAAGCTTGGTTCCTATTATACTGATAACTTTGTAAAATTTTATCAAAGGGAGTACCGTTCGCGTTTAGCGCATTGTAGCCCAACGAGTAGGTAATGGGTGGGCTGGGCTAAGAAGAAGGATGCAGAAGAGGAACAGAAGATGAAGATTAATTTTTATTGGGAATCGCGTTGTCTTGGCCGAGCTACAATGTAAAAAATTACATATGCTCCCATTAAATGGTGTCATCGTTTTACGTTCAATGTGTGGAGTTATTTTTTTTATTATTGTCATGATTTATGTTGGATGGAAAGCAGCGATGCAGGGATGCGATTGTCCTAACTGTATGTACGATGGATCACCCCATACCTTCGTAACTGCAGTAAAACATTAATTTCCCATTTTTTTTATATACTTGTTTTTTGATATTCCTAATATGCAGCAGGCCTCTTGTATCCGTGGCAGTTTGGTTGCACTGTCTTCCGAGGGTAGTAACAAGAATGCCATATTGCAAGGGTGGCTTTCTTGAGTTAAAATAAATCAATTTGGATTAAGTTACTTTAGTACATTTTCCTTAAAAAGCTCGGCGGTTGCAGTGGGCTTACAGAGTTTTGAATAGAAAATAATGTAGATACAAATTTAACAAAAAAAAAAAGGTTTGATCTCACTAGAAAATACGTGGTTGTCTGTAACAAATAAGTGCAATAGAAAATTGAGATCAATTTTTCACTATTTTATCAATCTGCAACATGTACATCTTTTTTACACTAAATGAAGCGGTGTTTCAAATAAACATATTTTTTCAAAATTATTTAAAAAAAGATAACCTGTATGTTTTAGATAAAAAATAAATTTATATTCATATTCAACTATTTCGAAAATGCCTTCAACCAAGTTTTATTGACATATTAAATAAAAAAAAAAAAATTGTGGAATGTGTCAAAAATTTAGTTGAATACCCGAAACTTTTGAAGGAAACAAAAAAGTTAACTTGGTCTTAATCAGTTTGTTTTTATTCAAGGGAGCTACCGTTGAACTATAGCAGTTTCATAACTGGTTACCCTACATTTAAAAAAATCTATTTTTTTTATTTAAGTTACCGATAAATAGCTTTTATATCATTAGACAAACAAAATTTTATCTACAATATAATAATTATATATGTACAGGACATTTCAAACATGTTGCCTCAGTCTTGTACACGGAAACAAAAAAAAAACAAAAACAGAATTCAACTTATGGCTTCAAATGGGATTTAATGGATCCATCTTATGCCAAAAATACAGGGTGGCTGCCAAAGTATTCGAGATACTTCATATAGGAATTATTAATTTTATGCAAAAATGATTCTTTTCACCTTTCTCGAATTCCCAATGGTTCTTGAAATGTTGGGTTCTCAGTTCGCGTGGGTAGTTGCTAAAGAGTAAATTACATTGTTGTGACTAGAGGGCTAGGTAATTTTAATAATTAGCAACTTGGCTGGAATTAGAAAAAAATTGTTGTTTGTCAGTTCATTGGCATCATTGACAATTGGTTCTTTAATATTTTTTGGGTCATTTCTGTTAAAATCATGCCTTTAATTTATTCAAATGAAGAATACACATATATGATATTCGTGTATGGATATTGCAACGGTAGTACCACTGCATCAGGGAATATCAACGACGATATCCAAACTGCCAGCTTCCCGACAAGCAAACATTAAATAGAACCTTCACAACTCTTCCATTAACAGGTGTGTTCCTTTAACCGACTTGTTGAAGAGAAGTTATGCGAAGAAACAATGCTCAGAAGTGCTTGAGCTCTGTACTGGACAAAGTAGGACGACTGTGCAAGACACTGCGAGAAAACGGACTGCATCGCCATCATTACCAACCGATACAAGAACTTCCCTTCATGGATTTTCCCTAGAATTCGTCTTTGTGAATGGTGGAGCAATCATCTGCATACTTTTTCAAGAACCCTTTCTTCGTGACGAGCCACACTTGAAGAAATGGAATCAACAATTTCCACAAAAATCATGTGTAGGCAATCGAAAACCCTCATGCTATTTGAGATCCATTTTCAGAGAAGATTCTTCTCTAAATGTTTGGGCTGGAATAATTAATAATAAAGTTATTGGACCACATTTCTTTGAGGGAAATTTGAACAGCTAGATGTACCGGGCTTTTTTTGAGAACAATCTACCTCTACTGCTTCAGGGCATTCCTCTTTAAATCAGAAGGATGATGTTATCTTTAAATGATGGTGCTCTGTCCCATTATGGAAGAGGTATCACTAATTTCCTCAATGAAAAGTATCCAAATTGATGGATAGGTTGTGGTGGTCCCATTGCTTGGCCATCGGGATCTCCAGATCTCAACCTATTGGAATTTTTCATGTGGGGACATGTGAAGATACTTACCTAATCAGTGAGAAAGCCTTATTGCAGGGACCAATTCATTGAGAAGATTCATACATACATCTCATTGATGAAGTGAAAAACAATATGGCACCGCCCTGGTCACATTGAGCAGCTTTAATATATTGTCATTACATTTTTATTAAAATAAACCACATTTTTTTCCAATATTTCAAGAACCATTGGGAATTTGGGAAAAGTGAATAGAATCATTTTTGCTTAAAATTAGGCATAGAATTCATATACGAAGTATCTCGGATACCTCGGCGGCTACCCTGAATAACATAGTTAACAATTGGTTCCCTACTAATAGACCCAAATACTTTCTAAACAAAAGTATTGCATTTTTCTGAGCAACTTTCAAATTTTTTTGCAATTAATCCCTTTAGAAAAAAAAATTTAAACTAAACATGTTAGATATAAGCAGTACAAGTATTTCATAAAAGTAAGTCAACAAATACCACCATCTCTAAATGTTTATGAAACTTTTGTGAACATCTTTACTAGAATCACTTCTTTTTTATACTTATTCCCTTTAAATAGAATCCATTGAATTTTTTCATAACAAAATCTTTGTTTCTATGTAGTGTAAGTTTACAGCTACGTATTAAAAAACAACAATAAAATTTATATTTTGACTAAACGCAAATTTCAACAGTCCAGAAACATGCATCCGAAACACGTTTCCAGCCTATTTTAATAGTGAATATTTAGCCGCACATATTTGTTGTTTGAGACTGGAGCATATGCTATATGTTGTATTCAGTTTGTATAAATAATTTTAAATCAATCTATCAAAACATTTTTTATTATTTGATAAAGTGGCATAATTTTGTCCAAAATTTTGATTTATAATTTAGTTCTGTAGTGTTATATTTCATTTTTGAAAAATTATGTTATTTTTTTATTTTCATTGCCAACTTATGCTGTTTAGTGGTTGAAGTGAAAGCTAAAGATTTAAAACGATTAAGATTTGTTCAACTAATATCTAATGTGCTTTTTTATATTTATTTTTCAGAATATTTCTGCTGTAGCAAAAAAAAATTCAAAAATCATACATTTTTCTTATATCTATATACAGGGTGTTTCAGAAAGACCTCCCGTAAATCCAGGCGGTGATAGTATGACAAAAATTAAAAATTTTTATCTTATGAACTATATCAGGGTTTGTAGTGACCTGGAAAACCGATAATACCGGGAAAAGTTGGGGAATTCATTATTCTTTATAAAAAACATGGAATAGTCTGGGAATTTTAAAGTATTCACGAAAGTCGGAGAATTTAATGTTTGCAACTGGAAATTTTGTGTAAACCGGCTCTGGGTTCTTAAATGAGAAAACTATTTGTGATTTTGAAATTTTTATAAGAGGACTTTGGGTATAAAAAAGATATGGAGTCCAGTCTAGAAAAAGTGTAATATAAACACCATTTAGTGTGTAAAAATGATCTGCAAGTGACCTGATTTTTTTTTATAAATAAGGGAAAACCTGGAAGTCAGGTAATTCTATATTAATTTTGAACTATCTACCCTGTATATGTCTATCTCTTTGTTTTCGAGATACAGAGCAACAAAATAAAAATTTTAAAATAGAATTTTTACTAAAATTTCCAAACGGTGCGAAATATTTTTATGAAATTTGGTATTAACTCTTACAATATTACGGTGTATAAAATAAGTGACTTTTCTCAAAGTAGGCTTATGTCAAAACTTATTGATAGATGTCTCATAAATAAAGCATAAATTCTTAGTAATATTTAAAACTAATTAACTTTATATCAAAATTTTAGTGATTTTTAGTGACTGTAGTTAGTAATGACTAATTACAGTCTCTAAAATTTTGATACAAAGTTAATTTGAGTTCAAAATATTACTAAGAATATATGCGTTGTTTATGAGACATCCATCAATAAGTTTTGACAGCCTACTTTGAGAAAAGTCGCTTATTTTATACACCATAATATTGTGTTTAATTAAGTCTTTTTTCTCGAAAACCATTCACCTTAGGAAGACCTAACAAGAGTACATTATTTTTAGAAAATACAATTGTACATTAAAAATTGGAGCCCCGATGGTGAAAAACCTAACGTTAAAAAAAAATAGAACTTAAAATGTAATAGGAATGTAGCATAACTAGTGCCTCTATGAAATATCCAAAAAATAATTAGAGCAGCATATTTGGCATCATTAAAAACACCAAATACCAAATTTCATAAAAATATTTCGCACCGTTTGGAAATTTTCGTAAAAATTCTATTTAAAAATTTTATTTTATCGCTTTTTATCTCAAAAGAAGAGGAGATAGTCATAGTTCATAATACAAAATATTATTTTTATTTTGTCGTACTATCGCCCACTGTGTTTACAGGAGGTGTTTCTGAAACACCCTGTACAGGCTGTTACAAATTCGCTTCTGACTACAGAGATCTCGGAAATGGTAAGATGTACGAAGTAGCTTAAATGGGGGCAAAGTTGCCTAATCAGGGGACCAACGTTATGCCTCGGAAAATTCAAGGCTAATTTGATTAGTTTTTGAAATGTTTGAAAAAAACGAAATTTTGGAAATCCTTTTTTGTTTCATTTCAGCCTTGTTTGAGGTGATGTTGAAAAAATAACACTTTCTCATGGCCACTTTTTGCCCTTTATCAAATGGCATAATCGATTTTCATATGTAAAGTTTCGTCTCCGGGACCATCATCAACTTAATTTTTTTAAATACGACCCTAGAAATTTTATTACATTTTTTGCAAGCCTTCATGACCCCCAATACTGTACACTCTCAGCCCAAACCAGATTCAGATGTTTTGTCTCGAAAAATTTATCTTCAATGTATTCGTTCCAAATTTCTTTGTTTATTGAACTATCATACACTGTAAGTGTCGTTAGACGCTGTGAAATCCATCTAGTTATTTAAACTATTATCACCACGCATTAAAATAAAACATTAGTTTTATTCCAGTGTCCATAGTTAGTTCTAGGCTTCTCGACTGCTCAAAATTCAAACAAATGACGATCTATTTTTTTCAGGATATTCATACAAATACATCTGACATGCTCTTTTACAGTTTCTCACTGTAGTGAGAAGCGAATTTGTAACAGCCTAAATATGTGAAAACATAGTTGATAACATCACAATTCCTATCAAGAATTCTGAATAAGAATAATTTTTACTACAAAAATGGGACCTTATTCTCATTTGAGGTCATAAGTTAAATGATTTTTTTTTCATCGTCATAAGGGCGAAGCATCAAGTTTGAAACATTACATACATAATTATTATTGAAGGTGTCTCTAAACTTATAATAATAATAATTTTAGCAAGATGCTAAGTAAGTCAAAATAAGATGAATGCCTAAATTATGTATTTTTCCTATCATTTCTGTTTCTGAGATAGAGGATGTTAAAATCATTGCAGTAGATTTGGAGATCTGGTATATTGTGAATAAGAGCCTTCTACCAATAGGCATATCCATACTTATTTATAATAATGCAATTCCAAGGTTACTTTTATTTTTAATATAATTACCGATCTCCTGACCTCATAACCTCTTTATATTCTATTTTACAGTAACATTTTTTTATCTCTGTATTTTTAACTTTGCTATATACAATTATTTTTACAGTATCAACAAAATATCTACAAACGTGAAATTGAAAAACATAAATAATTTTAATTGACAATTAATTAAAAACTTTTAATTACTTAACTGAGACTGTCAATTGTAAAACTGTGCCATAAATGATAAAAAATATATTCTTATTTAAAGTAAAAATACTTAGAATGACAATTCTTCAAAATGACTAATAACTGCTAAAATATGAACCTCCTTAGCTTCCTCCTAAAATTATGCCACTAAGTTTAGAGACATCCTATAGAGGCCTTAATACCAAATATAGTAAAATAAGCGCATTTTCACAAGTTTTGCAACTTGTCAGAATGCGCTTATGCCAAAGATTAATGAAACCATGGATCTAAATCCTCAGATACGAGGGGACTACAGTACTTTAATCTGAAATCATTATTTCTACCTATTATCTAGTAAGTTAAATTACACAAACTGAATATTTTTATACCTTTTATTTTTGATGATTAACATTTGAGATAGAGAACTAAAATTATGTAGCTATTCTAAAAGTATTATAAAGTTCTTTTGTTAATGGAAAAACAATATTTTCTTCTAAAAAAACATAATTCATCTAATTCTCATCTATATGTGACAAGTTATTTTTAGTAGTTCTAGATACTGAAAGTAGTTAATAATGATCATTATTTCCATTAAATACCTGTAGGAGTTTATATATATTTTTTTGAAATCTTAAATTCTGATCTCTTTTAATTTTTAATTTAAAAATATATATTTAAGAGAGGTCAGAAGAAAATCTAACTGATTTTTTTGTTTAGCCCATGGAAGTATATGTAGATGATGAAGCCAAATTGACATTACATGGTTTACAACAGCATTATGTTAAACTTAAAGAAAATGAAAAAAACAAAAAATTGTTTGAGTTGCTGGATGTACTTGAATTTAATCAAGTAAGTAATTAACTTCCATTAATTAATCAGAAATTAAAATCTCTATTGCAATTCAAATTTTGGATACAGCTTATAAGGAAGATACCTGAAGTGTTAGTCACCGATTTCAGTGAAACTTTATATATATTTTCTTTTCTGCCAAAGGGGTAAAAAGCACCCCTAAAGTTTACCCCCAAAAACAGTTTTTTCAAGAAATCTGTTCCTGTGCAAAAATTTTTTTTAAACTAATTGGAGTTTGTTTATTATCGGTCGCCGATATTATGTATAGTATTTTGAACTCCAGGAGTTACATCCGTTATCGTTTATAAGGGTAAAAATTATTCTTTGTCTCTGCAAAAATTGTAAAGAAAATCAAATATTTACAAAAATAACTTTATTCTAAAGAAAATCATATTCTAAAGTTGACCTGTTTCAGCATTTTTCACAAAAGTACATTTCGGGAGGGTAAATTACCTTTTATTAGTACTCTTCACTTTTCCTTGAAAAATTATTTGTATATGAAACTAAAGTAAATGTATTTACATATACAGTATAGACTCTTTAATTCGAACTAATTAAAACACGGGCTTACAGAGATAAGTTTGAATTACCTATATTTTCAGATTACTGGATAGTAAATATGTTTATATACATACATATAATATGAATTAGATTTTATGTGTTACTGAGAAGGCAGAAAATAACAAACCAAACATTATTGTAAAATATGGATATGTATTTATTAAAAATAAAAAATAAAAACTGAAAAGACCAATTTATTTGAATATCCACTTTTTGCAGAAGTGTTAACGTGTGATGCTTTCTTTTTTGTGACATGTTTGCACGACAATAATATTTCAACTAAAAAGGCCTAATCGAGAAAGGTTCCGACTCGCATAAAAGGGTTTCCTCAAGACTGCCGGGGAATTACGTTTTTAGCGGTTACTTTTATTATGTAGTCTGACTTTATAATCCAAACTATACAGGGTGGTCCCGAGGTAATGGGGCAAAACTCATGGGTAGATTCCCGAAGCAAAAATATTGTGATTTAACCGAACTTACCTTGGTCCAAAAGTTGATAGTTAAAGAGATACAAGGTGTTAAATGTAAAATATTATTTTAGTTTATTTCCATTTATTTTTTAATAAATGCGAATATCTACACAAAATTTTGGGGTTTGGGGTTCTTTGGATCGAGGAATTTAAATTTGTTCACATTTTGGTTATAGCTCATAGAGGGCGCCAGCTGCCGTATATTGAATGTGTCGAAAACGACATATCCTTTTGTACTTTAAAGTATCTCATCTTTGGTATCAAATTCTTATTTTCCAATTTTTTTTACACAAAAAAGGTAGACTTTATGAAAGTAGCTGTCTCGCACCGTTTCCGAGATATTTGGCTTTGAAACTTTCAATGCTAATAGTTGAAATAATTGGAATGATTTAAAAATGTCAAAAACGAAGGTTTATTTAGAATTAAAAATTCTAATGAACAGTAAAATAGTAAACATTAGTAAAAAATATGCCTTTTTAACAATTAATTGCTCAAAATGTCCACCTCCAACTTTTTTATCAACGCGTTCATTAAAAGATCGTCTTATTTTAAAGTATAAATTCTTAACGCGCAATGACTTTGCAGCATTTAAAACCTGCTGCTAAAGTTCCTATCAGGTGTCTATAGTTTTTCCATAAACAACTGATTTCATGTAACTCCAAAAACGAAAATCTCGGCATTCTATCTCACATTTATGTATACGAGTATACAATTTAAATTGTAAGCTAAGATGTAATTTTAATTAATAGAAATTAGCATACAAATGACAGCAATAAGACAAGTGGAAAACGTCAGTTATTTGATTTTCGCCCAAACCCTACTTAAGAAACTTTACTGCTAAATTAATAATAATACCTGTAGGTACTTAATTGTAATTTAATGCAACAGCATTGGAAGTTTCATAGCCAAATATCTCGAAAACGGTGCGAGATAGCTACTTTGATAAAGAATACATTTTTTGTGTAAAAAAAGTTGGAAAGTAAGAATTTGATACCAAAAATGAGATACCTTAAAGTTCAAAAAAATTATGTATTTTTTAACACATTCAATCTACTGCAGCTAGCGCCCTCTATGAACTTTAACCAAAATGTGAACAGATTTCAATTCCTCTACCCAAAGAACTCCAAACTCCAAAATTTTATAAGGATATTTGCATTTGTTACGGAATAAATGAAAAAAAAAACTGAAATAATATTTTACATTTAACACCCTGTATCTCTTTAACTATCATCTTTTGGACTAAGGTAAGCTTGGCTAAATCGCAATATTTTTGCTTGAGGAATCTACCCATGAATTTTGGCCCATTACCTCGGGACCACCCTGTATATGTTCAACCGAATTTTGTTCAAATTAAAGTTTTATTCGGACCATCGAAACGGGCATTCGTCGGGCCAGATTAATGGATATTCAGATTAAAGATTACGGTATTAACAATAAATTAGTGTGTGTATTTTAATAAAAGCACAAATATAGTGGTTTCACATTTTTAGGGTTAAGCTACTCCTACTGGATATATATCCACATATAGCAGTGGACATTGTCGAATTACTATACTTTTTCGTCGTTTTATGAAAATTTTTAAATTTCCAGTGATAAAAGTAAATGAAAATTTTCTTGTACAGATGCACAAATTGATGGAATCAAAACCACCCCCAAATTTAACTCGGAAAACACAGTTTTTCTCACAATATCTTTGATTATAACAAAAAATTGTTTTGAAACCAATTGGAGATTGTTTAAATGCTGATGTTATTTACAGCATTTCGACCCCTAGGGGTTGCATCCCATATTTTTTGTAAAGGTAAATTTTTTCTTAAAATTTTGCTCTATAATGTAAAATGTAAAAATAATGAAGAAAAGTTAAAAAAAATTTTTGTGAAGAAGATAGTAAACTAAAATTGACTGATTCTGAAATTAAGAAGACAAATTTCCAGAGCAGATGGATAAATTAACATCAAAATGTTGTCGTAAAAATCAAGGTATAATTAAACAATAACTTTTGTTTCATTTTATTTTTGAAATCAAAAGCAAGTCAATTTTAGTTTACTATCTTCTACATAAATCTTTTTAAACATTTAACCGTCATTTTTACATTTCTTACATAGAAAAATTTTGAGAAAAAAAATCAGTTTTACCTTTATAAAAAATAAGGAATGTAACCCCTGGGGGTCAAACTGCTGTAAATAACATCAGCGTTCATAGTAAACAATCTCCAATTGGTTTCAAAATAATTTTTGCTTATAACCACACATATCGTGAAAAACCTGTTTTAGGGATGACCTCTGACCGATAATAAAGAAACTCCAATTGGTTTAAAAAAAAATTTACAGAATCAGATTTCTTGAAAAAAAAAATGTTTTTGGGGGTAAACTTTGGGTGTTCTTTTTACCCCTTTAGAAAATATACCTGTCTCGTATTTTTTTGTTCCCTACAACATAGCGAAGTTTCATTGAAATCGGTGACTGACACTTCGGGTACCTTCCTTGTTAGATCATACTCGGGGTCCATTAAAAACAAACTATACAAGTTTAAACTTTACAAAAATTTGTGGGATATGAGGGAACGATAAATTCTATGAAATTTTTTTTTCCAAATTCAAGTTAAATATTAAGAAATTAAATTTTTATTTTTACTAAAACATTAAAGAAACACATTTTTCAGGTGTTGCCTCAGTAGTTACTATTGTTCTTATGATGAAATTGTTTTGAATGATTTAATGTGATTTTACATATTTGAACTCTCTCACTGACTCAATATTTATGAGATATTATTTATATTCCTCATTAGGTAGATCTAATACGTACAAAATATTTTTCAGGTTGTTATTTTTGTAAAATCAGTCCAAAGATGTATGGCTCTAGCCCAACTGTTAACCGAGCAAAATTTCCCCGCTATAGGAATTCATAGGGGTATGGACCAAAAAGAACGTCTCTCCAGATATGAACAATTCAAAGATTTTCAAAAGGTATTTATTATTTTATTTTTGTTTGTTATCGAATTACACGACTATGATTATTTATTTATTTATTTATTTATTTTATTTAATTCATCCAACGGGATGAGAACCCATTTACAGGTTGAATAAAAACAGAAAATATGTAACATAAAAGTAGCATAATTACAATAAAACAGCAAAATGGTATAAAGAAAGACAATAAAAACGGAATAGAACATCAAAAATAGTTAAAAAAACAACGGCAAAACATTATAAGATAACTAACAATGATGTAACAATATTACAAAATAAAGACAAAAATAAAAACGAGTTATAAGAATAAAATAAATATACATCTTATATACATATAAAATATACATCTTTGAACGTAAAATTTCCTGCTCTTTTCATTTCTGGATAAAACAAATGGGGTGTCTAATTGAAATTCTGAAGCTGACTTCGAAATCAAACCAAAGTTTGACCCTGAGTCAAAACCAAGGTCATTATTCTACGGCCCCCTTAAAATTTTCCAACCTTTGTTCTGGAAGTTATTTAATTGGAGGTCATTCTGCAAAGTTATTCGAGGTGATCGATTAAAACGGAACACTCTGTATACATATACAAATACTATATTCCGCGGTCAAAATTATAGAGAGTGACTCAGGCATAATATAAAAACACTATTACCATAATGCGTATAAAACGTAAAATGATTTTTATACGGTTCAATATTATTTATCTTTGTGCCGCTCGCTACGCACATCGATAGAATTTATAATCGTCTATAGACTGAGTTACACTGAACATCGATCTATATTCTATCTCTGTCTTTTGCACTTGGTAGGGAATAGGGAAATGCTTTTTTAGTGGGTGTAAATGGACCTGATTTACCCGTCCTGAGAAACGTCATAGCATAAACATAGCCGAGGGGTCTAATTCCATGGCTATAGTAAATTTATAAATTAAAAAAACAACTGGGACTTTTTAAAATGCTGTAATAATTAAAATGGATCAGTGCCGGTTATAGCAAACCGTAAAAAATATTAGATGTTATGTTTTATTATCTTTTTATCAATAATTTCTATATCTTGTTGCCTTTTACGCAGACACGCCAATGGATTTTCGTTCCCGGCACGCTTCATCCTCCTAACTAGTCCAAAAGCTAGCAATGAGTCACTCTATAATTTCGACCGCGGAGTATAGCATAAAATTTCATTTGAATTGGATACAGTTTTAGAGTTAACTTTGATGTGTTCTAATGGCTAAATAAAGCATCATGATCACACAAATAGGCAGTGGCGGCTGGTGTGGAGGGCGCCCCAAAGCTCCTAGAAATTTTCATAGTAAAATAATTTAATACACGATATTATTATTATAATGAAACACATTAAAAAAAAATGTTGAATGTGCAGTCAATTTAACTTGACTTGCAAAATTTATTTGAAAAACGCTGATTACATGTTTACCATCGCGCACATACAGTTTGGGCTCTGTTTAGTCCGCCCGTATCCAAATAATAGTTATTATCCGCTTTTTTTCTTATTAAACATAATTTGTTCAAGTGTTTTAAAAAATTATAAAAGTTTAAATTAGATTTTAAAGACAGACTAACAACACCTGTAATGCTATCTATTGTAACATTAAATGAAAAAGCAATTGAAAGGTTTATGACAAAAGCAGAAAAACAGACTGACTATAAAAAATAATTTTGAGAACATTTTTTCTATATTTTCATAATACTTAAAATAAAACTACACAATTATATTTGATCTTTTTTTTTTCAATACGTTGGACGTAAATTTTTCTGCCTTATCTGGTATGGAAGTCAAGAGCTGACACTGCAAATAGGTATGCAATTTCATGGACATGGAATATTGAAACACCTTTATTAAAAACAATTTATAAATACATATAAAATTTAATTAGTTGGTACTGTTTAGAACTATTAACAATTCAGTTTTTTGTTCGTCGATTGAATTAAAGTATTGTAATTTTTTTTTTTTTAGTTGTATGAAATAATTTACAATAATTACTTTGAGCCACTTATATAATTAGCTGAAACCCTAACTGAAAGAGAAAAGAAAGTAAAAAAATATATATATTTGAATAAACATAGCAAATCACAGAAGTAACCTTATACAGGTTACTTGTACGTGATATAAACATAAAACACACTTGACTTAAGTATACCGCAACCAATTTGTAATCAATACATACACACATGTGTTTACATATACATACACATCATGTACACATGGACTTTTATAAATTATTTTGTTAATAGCGAACGTACCAGTATTATAGAATTTTGACACTAATTATTTATAATGTCACTAAATAAATATCTATTTTGCTCACATATCCAATTTTGTAGCTTTTTTCTAAAAGTATTGTATGCTCATGTTTCTTTTATATTCCGAGGTAATACTGCATACATTCTCGGCGCTAAATAGTTAGCAGACCGCTGACCGATAGTTTTATCACATCTAGGAAAGAAAATTGTATCCAATCTACGCGTGTTATAGTGAATTGTTATTTAATATTTTAATTTTAAATTGTTTTACAAATAGAAGTATTTTTAAAAAGTATAATTGTCTTAAATCAAAAATTCCCGTCCCCTCATATAATGTGTTACTGTGACATAATATATTCTTTTTATAAATTATCCTCAAAATCCATTTTTGGACTATATTTATGTTTTTTAAGTAACAGTCATATATGCCTCCCCATCCTACAATTCCATATACTAATATGGATTGTACTAGTGAAAAGTAGAGAGTCTTTATGCACTGTATATTTAAGAAATCCCTCAAGTATCTAAATTTAGGCAAAAGCCCTCTAACTTTATGTACAAGTTGCTTTGCATGTACATCCCACCTCATATGCCTGTCAATAAATATACCTAAATATTTGACTGAGGAAGATTCAGGAATATTTTCCGTTAATCCAACGTTTAAGGGACCTAGCATCGGGAGTCCTGCATTATATGACGTAAATGGCAAATATGTCGTTTTTTTATAATTTAAAGTTAGTTTATTAAATTGAAACCATGTGGCAATTTTTGGAAAATCATTTTGTATTTTTTGCTTTAAGTTTGTCCAAGAAGTAGACGTATATGTAACCACCGTATCGTCTGCGAAACTAATAATTCTACCCGATATGTCCAATTTTAACAGACTATTTATATATAAAGTAAAAAGAATTGGCCCCAGCACAGTCCCCTGAGGAACACCACATGTCACTTCTTGTAAGCAACTTTTATGACTCCCTATCTGAACGCTTTGTTCTCTTTGTGACAAATAACTTTCAAATAAATTGTACGTTTTGCCTCTGATTCCATACTTCTCTAATTTCTGTAGTAGTTTTTTGTGGGAAACTGTGTCAAAGGCCTTAGAGAGGTCTAGAAATATACTAATAATTGGAACTTTCTTATCCAATGAATCATATATTATCGACGTTAGTTTATATATAGCATCATCAGTTGATTTTCCCTCTCTAAAGCCATATTGACACTCCGACAAAATCTTATACTTCTTTACAAAATTACAAAGTCTTACTTTTATTATTTTTTCTAATACCTTCGATATAGTAGGTAATAATGATACAGGTCGATAGTTTCCTATATCAAGTTTACAACCGTTCTTGTAGAGCGGTTTTATAATGTCACATTTTAATATTTTTGGAAAGCAATTCAGATCTATACACATATTTATTAAAATTGTTAAAGGTTTAACTATCTCTTGAGCAATCTGCTTCAAAGTTTCTGCGTGTATTTGATCCACACCTCGTGCTTTTTTTGTTTTTAAATTCTTTATAACATCTAAAATTTCCAACTCATTAGTTGGGTACATGTACATAGTGTTTTCCAAAAAGTCGGCATTATCTTTATATTTACTTATATCAGGTATCTTACTAGCTAATGTTTTCCCAATTGTACTGAAATAGTTATTAAACTGATTTGCAATTTCTGCCTTACAGGTAACTGTTGTCCCGTCATTTAGTTTAATTTCTTCAATAATAGTTTTAGATTGCTTTTGTCCACAAATGTTATTTACACAGTTCCAAAGAGCCTTCGACGTGTTTTTATTGCTTTGAATTTCTCTCAAATAATATTTTTGTTTCGTTTTCTTTATAATGTTATTAAGCCTATTTTTATAATTTTTATATCTTTCTTTAATTTCTAAGTTATCCGGATTTTTTAAAGCGAGCTTATAAAGTTTTTCTTTTTCCTTTATTGATTTCAATAATCCTTTAGTCATCCAACTCTTTTTATAATTAATTTTGTGACTAGTTATAATTGTAGTTGTATTTTTATTTATGTAATATTTTAGCTTATGTATAAAAATTTCACACATTATATCACCATTTGTTTCATTAAACAAGTCATTCCAATTTTCATTTCTTAAATCATATTTTAATTTATTGTAATTTATATAGGATTTCATATTCTCGTTATTCTCTATTTTTGCCGTGTTTCCTATTTTAAATAATAAACCTATAGGACTGTGATCTGTAATGTAGCATCTAAATATATAGGATTTCGCCTTAATTTTGTCCTGTCTTATTTGACTTTTTACCCAAAAATGATCAAGACATGTTTTACTAGGTAATCTTGTATATTCGTTTATATAAGATTGGTACCCATGATAATTTAAGATATTTTTATACTCCTCTATATATTCTTCATTTCCCAAGAGATTAATATTTATGTCCCCTGTAATTATACTGATATCACATTTGGAGTTGTTATTTAAGTAATTTAAAAGTTCTAAATTAAAGGCATATGGGGACGTACTAGGAGACCGATATATAGCTAAAACGTCTACATTAGTTTTGGAAATAGTGACTTGACATCTTAAACATCTTACAATACCTATATCAATGCTTGTTTGTGTATATTTTAAATCAGATTTAATAAAAACTAGTATCCCATCATTTTGATTTAAATTACCTTCATTATACAGAGTGTCATATCTTGCAATATGGAACAGACTTACATCGAGCAATTTATGTGTTTCTGTTAATATTATTAAATCGAATTCTACAGATTGATCGTGTAATAACATATGTAGCTGATCAATATTCTTTTCCACACTCCGTATATTTATGTGGAATATTTTAAAATCATTAGCAGTGACAATTTTTCTGAACTCGTTAAGTTTATAAATTTCTTGAGCGACAATAGATTCGTTATCATATTCTTTAATGTACTGGTCCATTCTATACTCTATTTGTTTAAAGAAATGACCTACAAGTAGTAAACTTACAATAATAACAAATTAATATCTTCTTTTTATTTCACCCTCCCTGATTTGCTTTTTATTTATTTCCTCCTCTTCTTATTTTGTCTTGAATTAACTGGACTACTCTTGGTTTTGTACTTATTTCCCCTATTGGTTTGACCAGTATTCTTTACGCCTGACGCTGCATTGCTTAAATGGCCCCCTTCAAAATTTTTATCTTGAATTTCAATGTCCTCTAGTTCTTCCTCACTACTATTTTCTTCCTCACTTTCAACTTTACTTTCTAGGTCTTTCGCCGAATGTGGTACTCCGTTAATTATTAACTTAGCTCCCTTAATTCTAGCTTCTTTATTTTGTGAACGAGCAAGTTTTTGATGTTTCTGCAAAATTTTTAAATCCTCTCTCTCCTCTTTGCAAAGATCATTTTTTAACGTTACACCTTTATCTCTTAGCTGTGTTAGTTTCCCAGTGTCTTTAAAAAGGGTAACTTTTTTAAATATGTTATGAATTCTATCAGTATAGGAGCTTTTTTGTATTTCCCAGCTTATATATGTTATTTATATCTTGACTTTGTACATTACATTCCAGGTTCGTGTTTAATATTTCAAGAATTTTTTCCAAGATATTTTTCTTTTCCCCCGTTTGAATTCCAAAAATTACAACATTATTTTTCCTAGCTCTTCTTTCTAGATGCATGCATTGTTGTTTTAGTATCTCTATTTCTTCATTAGCTTCATGAAGCTGCTTTGTTAATGAACTTGTAGCAGTCTGCAATTCTAACTTTATCTCTTCTGTTTGCTGCCGATTTGCTTTTAATATTAATTGATACAACTGTATTTGTTCTGGAGACTGTATATTAAAATTTTCCATATCTTCCCTAGCATTTCCTTTTTGTATATTATTATAACCATCAACTGTATGCTTCTTAGTGTGTGGCTAGCTTTACATTCGATAAAGAAACTATTTTATGATAGTAAACAAAGGTCCACACTTTTTTTATTGGCTTATCACCTTGTTCTGTTACTATAGGTATCGATATATGACTACGGTTTTCTGCTATATTGCATTTATTACAATGATTTCAAGTCCTTATTTTGTACATCTATATCTTCTGCATATAATTTTGATTATTTCTTATACTGTTTCCATTTATACACCAGTAGTATCACTTGAAACTTGAAACTACACAGCCCGACAACTACAGCCTTTCTTGCTTAAGTACAATATATATCTTGATTGATGGTAAACAATTTTTAAGTGACTTTTTACAATATAAATTGAACAATTGCAATGATGATAAGATTGTAGGGACATATGAGATCCTGATTATTTGCAAGTGGAATAAATTCTGATAATTACAAACTTTATCATAGCACCACCAAATAATATTACCTCATATTTAAAACAAATTGTGACTTTCAGAGAATATTGGTTGCAACAAATCTCTTCGGACGTGGTATGGACATTGAACGAGTGAATATTGTTTTCAACTATGATATGCCAGAAGATTCAGATACTTATTTACATAGAGTCGCTAGAGCAGGTCGATTTGGTACAAAAGGTTTAGCTATTACTTTTGTATCAGAAGAAGGAGATGCAAAAATTTTGAATGAAGTGCAGGATAGATTTGATGTTAATATTACAGAATTACCTGATGAAATTGATCTTAGTTCTTATAGTAAGTCCCATACATATTAATAAATGTAATTGGCTAATATATTTTTTTAATTTGCAGTTGAAGGACGATAAAATCAATGAGTTGAAGATGAAAAAATGAGTTGTATAAGTTGTATGTAACAATTATTATAATTTCAGTGTTTCATTTTAATGTGTAAATGTTGAATATTATTCAAACTGATAATAGTAGTATTATTGTAATTTAGTTATTTTTTTTACGTAAAATAAATAGTTCCCAAATTATTTTTATTTATAAATTTCCTCGTAGAATAAATACTTTGAGAAATAAAAGCATTTATTGGAAAATTGTTAACACCCAAGTGAAAATTAAGTGATAGATACTAGGGTCTTCCTAATTTTTTAATGCATTTACAAAAGAATTCCTAAAATATTAAATTTTTCATTGTGCAAATTTAATTTCAAATTGTGGTTACTCTGTTGTACTTCTTAGTTTTTACCTAATATAACAATTTGAGGCTACATTAAATAAACTGCCTTTAGTGCCTGGTTCAATTGTATCACGTAATCCATTAACTATTTAGTCGAGTGGTCAGATTTTGAATTATGACGTCAAGTCATGTATTTAACGCAATCTACCATCGCTCTGTGTAGTATGGTCTAATAAACTAAAAGGCAACTAGAGCTGGGTTTTGGGGAGTAGCGTTTTAGCTAAGAATGCACACGGCCATCGAGCCAAATGACTTGAAATAGGGCGCGTTTGGGTGGGACGGGTTTTGTCAAGTGTCTCTTCTCTGCTGTTTTTGATCCTGACTGAAACTTTATGGCAAGGGGGTAGGAGTATTGAGATGGTTACCCTGGTTCGAGAAGTTGGTGGCTAGATAGTTTGTGTTTATCTGTTGCATTAGGTATGTAGTCAATGGCTTGCCTGAGGGGATTGAGCCTCATGGCCGCATCAAAGTGCTTTTCTGTGTTTACTCATATTGTCTGGATGGTGTTCGTGTATTGAAAGTCGTGTAGAATGTCTGCATTTCTTACGTACCATGACGAGGCGGTGGCACAGTGCGTAGGGCTATGTTCTCCACAGCCTGGATTGACTTTAAATGGATTTTTGCAGAGGTGTAGGTTAGCTGCTATTGGAATTGGGCAATCCAAACCACGTGACAAAATTGGAATTCAATATGGCGTCGAGGGCAAACATTTGTTTGATTCATATAAACTTGTGTGTTTTGTTAAGAGTTTACGTTAGCTTGGCTTTGTTTTTTTGAACTTTGACTGTATAATGAGTGTTTCGTGGATTGTAGTTAGGTGTCTTTGTTATTGTCAATCAATATGCAGAGTGATTATTTAAAGAAGCTAATATAAGAATATTAATTAATTGGCATTATAATGAAAAATACATAAATTAAGGAATTGGAATATATTGATATCATTGTAAAAATTCTTGATAGTACCTATATAACAAATTTTTCTTGATTTTTAAAAAGTATAATTCCATTCTATTTTCACTTGTATTTTCTTCTTTTACATATCCATGTTTGGCGCCGTTTTCTCATCATCACTTCAAATCATTTAAATGAGGAAAATATTTAGAATTCACTACGTCAGGTAAACAATGAAAGCTAACTTGGTCTCGATTTTCACGACTTCCACAACCCACTACTATGCATGTTACCGGCATTAGTAATACATATCGTTGCGACACAATTTAATAAAAGACAAGTTAAACACTTCCTTAAATAAAATACAAGAATAATTCCTTACAAAAACCTCGGATTAAACGCTTTTAGCTAAAAAGTTCTGGACTGACTTCAATGCATTCTCAATGTAAACATAACTTGTTTGCCATCAGCGCCATATTGCTTAAAAATTTGACAGGTCATTAGATTGCCTAATACCACCTTGTTAAGCATTTGCTTATTTCTTAGGTTAAGGAGATGGCGCTTAGTTCTGTTTCCACGTAAGTTGTTGGTGATTCACTGGCTTGCACAGGAATCACATCTGTCCGCCCCCGTGGTCCTGTGATAGTGTAAGTATGTGGAAGTAGTGGGAATTCTGTGTTTCGTGCAGAGGATTGCTATGATTTTGTCTAGTGTTAATTTTGACTTTCCACCTGTTGCACTAAGTTTCAAGTTGGTTCAATGAGTTTTGAAGGAAGATAGTGGAACGTCTTGCGTTTGTCTATTGCACAGTTATGGTTATGTCGTCGGCGTATAGGTAAGGGTTTGTATTATATTATATATACAGGGTGTTCAAAATGTTTAACACCCCCCCCCCAACAGAAAATCCTGCTCAAACAAAAAAATATTAGGACAAAAATTGCAGGATTGAGTGAGCAATCCAATGATGACCTTGTAAGTCATTTAGAGGTCAAGTTCAAAATTTTAAATGAAACCATATACTTTTGACCCCAGAAATGGTAAGAGCGGAAAATTTTACATTCGAATGTGACCTTGACCTTGAAGGTCATTTAGAGGTCGACCTGAAAGTTTTAAATGGAACTGCATATTTTTGACCCCGGAAATGGTCACTTTTTCCAACAGCCTGTCTCCAAAGGTGGAAAGTGGAAAAATTACCAAGGTGTTAGAGTTAAAAGTGAGCAATCACACGGTGACCTTGACAAAGTTGGAGATCGTTTACAGGTCAATTTGAAAACTTTGAATAACAGTCCAATATATTAGATCCGTTCCGAGGTCAAAAGTATACGGTTCCATTTAAAATTTTCAACTTGACCTCTACATGACCTTCAATGTTAGGGTCAAGGTCACCGTTGGATTGCTCACTCAGAACCCTGCAACTTTTGTCCTAATCATTTTCTTGTTTGAACAGTATTTTCTGAGATAGAGGGGGATTCCAAACTTATTGAACACCCTGTATGTATATGGTGTAGAGGTGTGGTGATAGGACGATGCCTTGGGGATGCCCGCTTTCATGGGGATTTGAATGCAGAATTTTAAGTAGTTGAGGTAAAACTTGATGAATTTGGTAAAGGATATGGGATATTGATTTGCGAGCAGTTTCATCAGTAGGCCTTCATACCAAATCATATCGAAGGCCTTTGCGAAATCCAAGAAGACAGCTCTAGTAAACTATCTCCTGCTGAGGACCGCCGTGATGTTTTCTGTGAGGCATAGGATTTTGCTGATGTCCTTCGCACCACTTCCGCAAGTAAACTGACTGGCGACGTCATTGATATAAATCGAATAACGTCCACGTCAATCATTGTTATGTTTGCTAATAAAGGAGGAGGGTTGATAAGGCCGGTTTTCGTCCTAAATTTAACTTGAATGGAAATGTTCAAAATAAGTTCCTGTAGTATCTACTAAAAAAACTAATTCGATTCCACCCTAAATGGACCACTCCTTAAAATAGTGAAAATACCATCATTTATTAACAGCACTTTTTGAAATATTCGTCACTGGCAAACTAATATTTTCTTAATAACATACTATGAACTCTATATTAACTATTTTCACTCTTATGTATCACTTTTTGCCTTTTTACCCTCCTTGAGGAGGGAGGAGGGGGTAAAAAAGTAAGTGGTGGATTTACTACACAAGTCTACAAAAAAAAGGGTATCTGTACTTTACATGTGACATATGATTTCAATGCATTTTTATCTCCTGAACACGAATCCGTGGTCAATTTTGCTCCATCGCCCTTCAGTCTTCAGAAAATCGCTAAAAACCTTCAGAAAAATCAAGACTTGAGGAGTGGTTGGCTCTGCACATGCGACATATGGGGTTGTGTGCCGGGTTTGCAACCAGAGCACCTCCACGTGGTGATCATGGGCAACTGAGTTGTTCCACTATCCCGGCAGAGTCTGGATGGTGATAGGGCTGTCACACCCTCACGGCAACTACATGCAAAAGTGTTACGGGACAGGTATAAATAAGAGTGAAAATAGTTTTTATTTATTTATTTTATTTATTATCACAGGAATTGTTGTTCAATTTTTGAGCTGAAACTTTTATCTAAAGCTATGACAAGTTCTAATTCTGGAGGCTCAATTTGTAGTGGATACTTATTGCAAAAGTAACGTAAAGTGCGAAAAAGAAACTGGTGAATTGATTAGTTTTCAGTTTTCAAAAGAACGCCAGTAACAGAAGAGTGGATGATGCTATTGAAAACGTTTTTTATTTTGCTTACAATAAAATTTGAGATACAGGCTGTCTTAAAAAACGCCGCAAGGCATAAATCCATTATTTATAGTCTGATTTTAAAAAACAAAAAATTAAATGAAATATCTAAATACACTATGGGGAGGGGGAGGGGGGATATTAAGAGGTCGTTTACTATATATATTTTTTTGAAACGCGATAGTCAACTTTTTGCAAATGGCAATATAGGTAGTTTTTTTGTTATTTATTATTGTGCAGATTTATTTTCTGAATCCAGCAATGCATATTTATGCACTTGACTTTTGTAAAGCATTTATTACAGAAGAGACGACAAAATATTAGTTAATACCGCATTCGGCGCCCGGCCACTAATTCATGACAAATGTAGTTTAACCAATCATTTGTGCCATGGAAAACAAAAAATAATACAGCAAAGCAAATAAAACTCTAAAGAGAATTTTGTAGTTACCAGAAGAGAAACAATAATACAATGAATATGAATTAAAAGAAAAACAATTTAATTAAATACATTAACTATTACGCAAAGTTCAGCGCGAAATAACATTAATTAAACACAAAACACATTAAACGAAGAACAACAAACACAAAACAACAAAAGAAACAAATTGTAGCCATCGTTCTCTATCGTTTTTCTCTCATGCCTGTACTTTTTCAGGAATGTATGTCTTGAATTTGTGCTTTTTCAATACTGCATGTACAGTTCTCTTTGATGTTCTAATATTATTAGAAATTTCCCGAATGGAAGTTCTTGAGTTTTCTTTAACGTTAGGAACATTGAGCTCGATGTTTTCATTAAATTGGCATTCTTCTCGTTTTGGTTTCTTAAAAATACCAGTTTCTCAAATTTTCTTCCAAGTCTTACAAATCTACGTGGTTCTGGAATTTATCTGTGAGGAAATGGTTCTCTGTAAAGGCAGACTCCTGCACCACGATTTTCATTACACCGAAAGTATACCTGAATCATGTCCGTCAATTCATTATTACTCATATTTTGCAGTGTTGAGCTTATTTCAACAAATAACCTATTGCAAATGAAATGACACAGAAAGAGTATAATACATAATGCGTAAACAGTAACCTTTATATGTATATTATATCGTTGAATTCTGAATAGAAATCTGCACAATAAATAAAAACTATATT